GTCCTTCCTAAAATCACCCCCCGACCTCGCCATAATGTCAGGAGGCCAAAACAGGAGGTATGAAGCAGAGGGGCTAGCCAGAGGGCTGCCACTCTCATTGCTGGAGCCCTGTTTTCCCACCCTTCCACAACACCCCTTTTCCAGCAGGGACACAAAGCAACCGCTGGGACTGGCACATCAATGCCCCTCCCCACCCTCCACCCCACCCCAATATTGCTGTGAGATTCAGAGCCTTCGTCTCCCAGAGCCAAGGCTGCCCAGAGAAGGGGTGCAGTAGCAGCCCACGGCCCCTTCACAAGACTCCCAGCAGGTCAAAACAGCATGTGCTGACTCTGTGCGGTGCCTCACGTCTTTGGGCATCGCAGCCAGAGGGTTCACCCTGAAGAACTGCATTTTTCCTTTTGGTTTGGTTTTAGCTTGTTGAGGTCTGGCCCAGTTGAGACCAGGTGTCCTGGCCATGGTAAATGTCCTGGTCTTTTAGTCAGGTTGCCCTCATGCCTTTGGAAATGTTTTCCTTGCAAAGTCAAGGGATTGTATGAAGAGGGCCAAGATTTTGTAGTCAGGTGGTTGCAGTAAAGAGCTGGTGAGGGGGAGGGCCGTTCCTGGCTTGCCACCTGTGGGCATTACTGTAAGTAGGGGCTGAAAACAGATGGATCCTACTTATGAAGAGTCTCAACAGTGCTCAGCAGAACTATATGCTGATGGTTACACCAGTTTAGATATGAAAATGCAGTGCTCCCTGCCCTGAGGGAGTGTGCATTTTCTCCAGCCCTTTCGCCTCATCTAGAGGTGAGCTGGAGTGGAGAGCAAGTCAAATGAATGTGAGTATCGAGGAGAGCCGGCAGCAGGACCTATGCACCGGTGTGGGATTCAACCCCCCCTCCAAGAAGCACCTACCTTCTTTTGGTGGCCGTTTGGCTTCTCTGGTGAGGTTGCAGACCTGTGTGGTTTGCAGCTCCTGGGTCAGGCAGCCCTCCGTCTGCTCGTTGAGGGGCAGCACCACGTTATTGAGCAACACCAGGGACTGGTCGTCTATTCCCCATTCTCCCAAATGCTGAGGGCAGGTGCATTTTGTATACATGATCCCACAGGACTCGGTTCTCCCGTTTTCGGATTTCAAGCAGCTCTCCAACCAAGTGCATAACACATGGCACCCAAACTGGCTTGGGCTCACCTTATTCAACACCAAAAACTCAAAGAAGGATTTTTGGTCGTCTTCTTTTTTGTGTAATCCTGGGAAATCAATAGGATAGACGCGGCGTATCTGAATAAAATTCTTATCATACTGCAGAAATACAAAAGCATTCTTGGAATCGCAGAGCTGCATTATAGAATGGTTATTTTTTAAAAGATCCTTTATTTTTTCATGGGAAAAATGATCAAACTGATAAGCCAAGAGGGAAAAGTTGGAGCAGCTGAAGTCCTTTTTGGAAAATTTCAGGTAAATACTATATTTGGTTGGATCTGGATTTTCCAGCGTCCAAGTGCAGTTTGTGAAGTTTTTAGGAAACATTTCACTTACAGAATACGATCCATAAATGACCCCCTTCACCAACGTGGAACACCAGAAGTCTTGGGCAGCATTAAATCCAAACATAACCAGTAGATAGGTGGAAAATATATAAATCAGCAAATTACGAACAGCCTTCATCCTATGTCATTTGGCCTGCAGGAGATGAAATGAAATAAAAATGCAAGTAGAATTCTTCACGCATTGAAAACCAAACTCCTTCCAATATTCGAGCCAGCTGTTTTCAAGCTTGCAGTTAGAGCCCCTTTCAGAAAGAAGGGCAGGTAATTTTTATTTTATAACGCAAGGGCCGGGTTTGCTGCTGTGTGCACAGCGCCATCACGTGGCCATCGCAACAGCCAAGTCTTCTACAGTCAAATTAAAAAACAACATCTATTAGATTATTAATAGGAATGTCCTCTCCTGTCTATGATGTAGTCATCATGGCGTGGACTAGAACTGCTCAACTTAGGTAAAAACCTAGACGCCTTACCCGACAGACCAAGAAAAGGGCAATCGATTTATTTATTCCTTCAAAAACTAAATAAGTAGTCTGCCATTGTAATATATACGCATATAGAATACGCACACGCAGAATTTCACCGGGATAGGACAAGAAAGCCCGTAGCATCTGTTGTTATATATTATTTCTCTATTAAGTCTGAGAAGTAACTGTGAAGAATTACAGCCATAATTTAAAAATGCACAAATTATTATTTGTTACAGATGGAACATTATCTCCCATATGCCTACATGCCTTCACAGTGGCCACCTGGTATATAGAGGTCTCTATAAAAAGAAAACCTAGGCAGGAAATACAGAGATTAATGTATTAATACAATTCTGAGACTACTGGAGAAAGAAACAAAGATAGACAGATGAAGCTAGTGCTGGTCTGACACTACCGCTAAACGCCAGCCTTTTAAGATAATCATTTCAATCTGCTACAGCCTCTTAGGATATACAAAAATGGATCACTGTATTAGTATCTACAACCAGTATCTCTAGATAGCTGCCAGTGCTACAGAAGGATCTCTGCACTTAGTGGACTGCACTTGCCCTCTTGTTACGAATATCTTGTACTGTCTGATTAGCTGTGTTTTGCAGATGTGCGCTTGAACGATGAAAGACATACTACATTTTCTCTGCTAGCATCTCCAAATAAAGCTGCTTTACTGCACCTGTCAACCGTTACAGCCTCCACATGCTCAGTTCTCTTAACAGTGGCCTAGGTTAATAAAGCGAACCTTAGTTATATTTACCTCTGTACCGTTATCCAAAAAATTCAGATTGAACGTTTTCAGCATTAACCTTTCAGAAGTTGCTTATCCCTTGCAAATGAGCAGCTTTTCGCCTTCTGCTGTCAAATGCAAGCAGGCAAGAAGTGATGCCAAGCTAATTTCAAAACTCTCTAGGTTGCATGCAGTCTCTTCCACTGTTGCTCTGTACGCAGAGGCAGACACACACACACAGGCACCGTTACTGAGTTTTGATGTGTGTCTTTGCCTAGCTTTTCATCTCCTCACCAAACAGCAAGGCATCTTCTGTCTCCCATTGCGTAACACACAGCAAATCACCGGATTAAGCTCCCTTGAAGAGATTCTCGTACCTCCTAGATTATAATTCAAACTCTGAATCTTGAAATGGGCAAAGCAGCACCAACTCTGACCCTCTTTATAGTGGAGGTTTAAAAAAAAAAAAAAAAAAAAAAAGAGCAAAAAAAAAGAAAAAGAAATAAATAATTCGGTGTTATTCCAGGACACGCCAGGGCCTTCCCCGTTGGCAAAGGCGCAGGAGCGCTGGGCTCTCAAAGCGCCAGAGCTGCTGCCGGGTCTATCCACACGGTCGGATTTTCTCCTTTCCGAGCATCTATCTCAATGAATAACACGGTCCTCCTTCTCCAAACAGGGTCGGTACAGCATTTAAGGTTTTTAAAAAGAGAAACTTATCAGGAATTCTGGATACAATTTCCCCTTTGCTGAAGCACTTTGCAGGCAATGCAGTTCTGCGCAGTGTTATTCAGGATGGTGTAGGCGTTGAAAGCCAATGTGACAATAAGTGTCTAAATTAGGAATTCCACCCATGAAAAAGGATTAATTTTATAATCTGGAACGCAAAAAGGGGACTTACTTGCTTTTCTGTTTGAAAAGGAAAAAAAGCCTCCGACTTTTCCCATCCTATGTAATATTTGCACTAGAAAAATAAAGACGTCTGCAGTGCTAGGCTGTTTTCTATGAAGAAATGTAATCGAATAGCCCTCATTTTAGTTGTGCGTTTGTTCATGCAAGGCTACTGAAACACAACATCGTCTTCATCTCTCTCCCTGTGTGCATTACACACAGACACACACACGCACACACACCCCCAAACTGAGTGTGCCGGCAGCGTTTCGTTCAGTTTGCAGTATTGCTAAATACACGAGTGAATCTGCTCACTGAAAGGATTAGGCGCTCAGATTAAAAAGATCTTTCTTCTCCATGGAGGAGGGAGTTAAAGAACGGCCACAGAGGCTTAAGGTTGCCCATTTGGGAAGGGGGAGAACCCTTTTCTGCTGAAAGCAAACGGGCACTTAGTTTGGATATTCCCCAAACTGATTTTCTAGGTGACACTGTAGTTTAGCCGAACATAGACGGCGCCATCACTCCACTGATTTTTTCCCCCAACAGAAGACCCACTGACTTCTCTTATTTTAACTTCCTATTAACCTAACATCCACCCCCCCTCCCCGAAAAAAAAAAAAAAAAAATTGCCCCAATCGTGCACAAACCTCAGGTTTTCTCCGTCTCGCTGGAAATTACTCTCCGGGAAGCAGACCTGTCGCAAAACGGACTTCTCTAACTTTTAAACTGCAGCGCTGAAGTAAATGCGGAGATCATTTTGGCTGTGCTGTCTCTCTATCCTTCAGCAACAGCCTGTCCCCCTCCTCCGCCGCCTCCTCCCCGGAATCCCAAGATAAAAGCTCTCCAGCCGTAATCCCTGGAAATGGGAAATGGAAATGCCCCGGGCACCCTTACCTTCCACTCCGAAAGCTGTCAGGCTATTTCTCTAAAACACTAGCACCACAGGCACACGTCCCAACAACAGTGATGGAGAGATTCCCCTTCTGTCGGAAGCACCGTTTCCCATTTTCCCCGGCTCAGGTTCAAAACCAAGATTAAAAAAAGCAGAAGAAGATAAAAAACGCAGCGAGAAAACCCCCGCACGCCACACACACACCCCACCGAGGAAAAAAAGCAGCTTTGGCTCCGGATCCACCAAATCCAACCACATGAAGGGAAAGAAAAAAGAAAAAAAAACACCAAAAAAACCCCAAAAAACCACCTCAAACCAGTGAGACTGCAGGGGGGGAAAAAAATGGAAGTGGCTGAGCAAGCGAAGCTTTTTGGTTTTTTTTTTTTTCTTTCTGGTTGGCTTTTCTTTTTTTTTTCTTTTTCTTTTTTTTTTTTTTTTTTCTTTTTTTTTACTTGAAACAAAGTCTCAGCACAGCACCCCGCTGCCCGGCGG